TTTTGCATTCTCAAAGTCCCAGTGGGACCCAGGATATGGGCAGTACCAGCACTCTGCTCCCTTCCTGGGTTCTAAGGATAAGTACTGCTGCTGCAGTGGCTTGAGAGCGTTTAACAAGAGTGTGTTAGAGAGAATTACATTTGATCAACCATATTTTCAGACGTCTATTTAGTAGAGCAAAAGGGAATTTAAAATGCTAGGTCACATTGAAAAATCATCAGGTCAGGTCTCATGGGAACTCACACAATGGCCTGTGCCAAGAAGAAAAGACGGTATCCTTCAGCCACAGTGACAGCCTACAAACAGCTGTACTAACCTCCTTGGGAAATGCAGCCAATCTTAGGATAAGATAGTGAGATCTCGAGGTCATGGTCAAGGGTCTTTTTCTCTTGCAAGAGAATAGACGTCCAAAAGAGACCAAGATAATCAAGAGTTGGACTACTGTCTGGATTTCTGTGAGGTCCTGTTCTGTGGCAGAGCACTACTGTCTCATCAGTGTAAAACTGAATAGATTCTTTTCTGGACTGAGAAAAATCATTCTTTGTGCAAGGATAAGAGAGGACTTCTGGGAACTCAAGAGAATTAATTGTAAAAGTGTGACTGTATCGTGTAAAATAAGTGTACTGAGTGCTGAAGAAATCCACAACATAGAGGTATGTTCACAATCACATTATTTGGTTTTTCAAAAAAATGTCCAAGGCACACATAGGACCCAGTGACAACATTCTTGAGCTAAAAAATGAAAATAAATGCAGACAAAGAAGAACTGCCAAATTTTCTTTAAAATATGGAAAAAGTTAATTTTCACACAGGATTAAGATGAATCTAGAGTTATATTACTTTATTAAGGTAGTGTGATAATATGGTATGTTGACCTTGGCTAGCCTGATAGATGCCCACCTACCAATCCCCTGCCTCAACAGGAGATGTGACAAAAGGCTCGTGGGTCAAGACAAGGACAGGGATATGACTCAGTAATAACCATCACAGGCAAAACAGAGTCAGTGTGGGGAATTAATTTAATTTATTGCAAATCAAAAGGACAGAGTAGGATGACAGGAAATAAAACCAAATCTTAAAACACATTTCCCACACTGGTCCTTTCTTTCCAGGCTCAGCTTTACTCTTGACTTCTTTATCTCCTCCTCCCAAGCAGTGCAGAGGGATGGGGAATAGGGGTTCAGGTCAGCTCATAATGCTTTGTCTGCCGTACCTTTGTTCTCATACTCATCCCCTAGCATGGGGTCCCTCCCATGGGAGACAGTCTTTCACAAACCTATACAACATAGGTCCTTCCCATGGATTGCAGTTCTTCATGAACTGCTGCAGTATGGGTCTTTTCCATGGGATGCAGTCCTTTAGGGAACAGACTGCTCCAGTGTGCGTCCCCAGATGGGATCACAGGTCCTGCCAGAAAGCCTGCTTCATCATAGCCTCCTCTCCATGGGGTCACAGGTCCTGTCAGGAGCCAGCTCCGGCATGGGCTTTTTCTTCATAGGTTCACAGTTTCCTTCAGGGAGCACCCAGCTGCTCCAACATGGGGTCCTCCACAGGCTGCAGGATGGTTATCTGCTCCATGGGCTGCAGTAGCACATCCTGCTTCACTGTGGTCTTCACCACTAGCAGCAGGGGAATCTCTGCTCTGGTGCCTGGAGCACCTCCTTGCCCTCCTTCTTCAATGACCCTGGAGTCTGTGTGGGAGGCAGCTGGGGAGAACAATGATCTAGGCTGGAAGGACAGCCTATCTAACACACTGGGTGCCGTGTGCCCAGGAAAGATCCAGTGTGCATGTTTATGTGCTGCTATGTGCAAGGAAATCTGAAGCAGCAGGTGGAGTGGGACTGGGTGGTCTGGGGAGCAGTGTGTGCAGGTGTCAGCAACTGGGGAGATCTGGGATCCATGGTCATTACTGGACAGGCTGCACATCTAAGCCAAACTATTGAGAGAACTCTGTAGTGCATGTGAGTGAGGAGATCTGTACCAGGCACTGGAGTGGGGGCCATATGTCTAGGGTACAGCTGCAGGGGAGATCAGAGATCCAGGTATCAGCCAATGCATAGTGTGTGTCTGTGAGTGCGGTCTGTAAGAGCAACCAGAGTGGGATTGCAAGTCTTGGGAGCTTAGACGTCCAGGGTACAGCAGTGGGGGACACTGCGGATCCAGGTTTAGACTGAGTATCTAAGCTCAGCTATTGGAGAGATGCACATTATATGTATGCATATATTTCCTACTAATGGACTTGCATCCTGATTAGCCAAAAGGCAACAAGATGAGGCATTGGTGCTGTTTCTGTGAGTGCTGAGTATTTCTGGCTGTAGTGACCTGTATAGCTGTCTATGTGTGTATATGCACACATGTGTTTCAGAAATGGGTTTGAATGTGCCTACCAAGAATACATGTTTAGTCTCACGACCAAGTACCAAGACGGGCTGGGGCATGAAGAGATTGAGAGCAGCCCTGCAGAGAAGGACTTGGCAGTGTTTGTGGATGATTTTCTTTTGTGCTCTTATGAGAGATCACAAGTGCATTTACCCACCTCTACCACAAAACCTCCATCGGTAGTACAGCTAATCTCAATCCTAATATGAAGGTGCCTTTAAAGCTCCTTTATGACATTCTGGGTCATTTCAATAATTGCCTTAAGTTGCTGAAATCAGAGTTCATAAGCTAGTTCTATAATAGTTTGCAAACTATTGTTATGCATCTTGAAG